CGTTCAGGGTTATTGCCAGGGTTGGGAAGGTGGTGTATAGGTTGGAGCTCCCGGAGGAGCTGAGTCAGATCCACAACACTTTTCACGTTTCACAATTGCGGAAGTGCATCCTAGATGAGGATGCGATTGTTTCATTAGATGACATTCAGGTTGATGAACGCCTGAATTATGTGGAGAGATAGGTGGCCATTCTTGAGAGGAATGTGAAGATCCTAAGAAACAAGGAAGTGCCTTTGGTAAAGGTACAATGGGAGCATCAGAGGGGATATGAGTGGACTTGGGAGCCAGAGTCAGAAATGAAAGAGCACTACCCAGATCTTTTCGTTGCATCCAACTTCGAGGACGAAGTCTAGGTCAAGTGGGGGAGAGTTGTAACACCCCAAACCTTGCAGGTATAATTTAAAGACCCTTCTTCCTTTTATTAGTTGTCCTTGTTGGTCCCAAAAATTGTTTGTGTGATTCGAGAGTATTATAAGGCGTAAAGTTGCAACTTTAGGACTAGAAGGATTACGTTGAGCATACATAAGGGTACGCTAAGCATACTAGGCATACCCTAGTACACGGGGCGTACACTCATGTATGCTGGGCGTATTTATGTCTGATGAAAACCCTAATATTCGGGGTTAGGGACTACATAATCATTCTTATGGCTCATTCTTTTGCTTACCCTCAGCCTCCATACCCCCAGAAGACGTCCCAAACCCTAGTTCATGTGTGTGAGAAGTGTGAGTTGGTGTGCATTTTGAACCATGGGAAGTAAAGACATTTCACTAAGAAGCTAAAGAAGGAGAGCAAATTTATAGACCTGAAGTTGTATTGTTCCATTGAAGCTCCAAAAGGTAAAAAGATTGGAACTTTGTGCGTTTAGTTATAGATCTAAACATTTAACTTTATGAAGGTCTTATTATCCCTAGAATCCCCAAGATGGTGCATGTGATGTCTTTGACGAAATAAGTTTTCCTTTTAGACCCTAGGAGAGGTCTTAAGTGATAAAAATCAGTTCCCCAACAGTTAGGCTTGTCCCATGCACGAAGTGAGAAGGTATTAATGGGTTAAGACCATGAGTTAAGGACTTTCTAGATGTCCAAAGTGATAAAGTCTGGAACTTTATGGTCCATGGCATATTTGGTCGATGGATCTAGGATTTGGGCTTAAGAGCTTAAGCCATTAAGCACTTATTAGGGTTTGGAAAAACCCCACGTACGCCCAACGTAAATTCCGTATGCCCAGCGTATATGGTCAACGATCCAGATGACAACCAACGTAGAATGGAATTACGCCCAATGTAACTAGAGAGGTACGCCCCGCGTACGCTCTCTGTTGGGCTCATGACCAATGGACTTAGTATTTTTGGGCTAAATGGATTTGGGCCATTCTTGGACTCTGCAAACAGGATATTTTGGGCTAGGTTATGATAGTGGATCATGGGGTTAGGCCCAATAAGGAGGTTAAGCCCAATTTAGTAAATTGGGCCAATAATGGGCTTTAGGGTTTGGACCTTCAAGATAAGGACTTAGTGTTGGGCCTTAGCCCAAAAAAAGAGAATGGAATTTTTGAATTATGGGGACACTCTATCAAGAGAGTGATGTCGAGTAATAACCTAGTATTTATTATGTGTGACAGCTCAGGATTTCCAGTGAGGCAGTGGTTAGGATTTCAGCATTTCAGCACTGCTAGTCAAGTGAGTTATCCTCACTATACTCAAGGGTATAAGGCACCAAGGCCGACCCTTTGGATTGTTATCTGGATATATGATAAGTGGTAGGATCTGTTAGATCGGTATCCTATAGGGTAGGATAATATTATGTGGTATGTGGTACGATCCGTTAGATTAATTGTTGTCTATAGACTGTTACATGATTATCTGTTATATGTGCACATGTTTGTTTATTGGTTGAGGCTTATCTGCTTTGTGTGAAAGCCAATGGACCTGGGCATTCCAGCCTATTGGTTGTGGGCCTGGAGTATTCCATCCCGATGATGATTAGACTCATAGTATATGGGCATTCCAACATGTTGGTTGTGGGCCTGGGGTATTCCATCCCGAGGATGATTGGACCCATAGTATGTTGGCATTCCAACCAAAAGGTTAAGGGCCTGGGGTATTCCATCCAGATGGTTGACTGGACCCACAACATATTTTTTATGGTTATATGTGTATTTTTGCGGGTATGGGTATTTTTGGGGAACTCACTAAGCTCTCGGGCTTACAATTTCAGTTTATTGTTTTAGGTACATCAGGGGATCACGGCAAGGCAAAGGCGTGATCGTACAGCTCCTCACATTCTGTTTATGTTTCTGGGAAAACTCTGATAAAGATTATTTTGAAACAAAATTTGTAATAACTCTTGGATTTAAATGTTTTGAAAAGTTTAAATTTGGTTAAATTTTTTTTTAGTGTTACAAGTTGGTATCAGAGCCTTGGTTTGAGGGATTCAGGCACACTCTCGAGTGTGCCTGAAATCAAACTGAGGACTTGGTATGAAAATTTTGAAAAGAATATCATTTTTATAAAAATAATTTTAAAAAGAGAAAAAGAGAAAAGGGTGTGGTGTATGCAATAAGGAGAGCTCAAGTAAGTTCTCCCAAATTACTAATACATGTCTGTTATGATATGATATGCTTATGAGAACTGTATGCTAGATTAGGGCTAAGGATCTATGAAGGATGCCTTATATGTCTGCTATATGTGTTTATTGAGTGCTAGTATTGAGTGGACAGTGGTAGGATGGCTTGTTTAGGTTATGCCTGATCGTATGAGCTTAGAATCGCATGCTAGTACAGATTCCTGATATGTGGATAGAATTGCTCGATTATGTTTCTGATTAGATTTTTCCTTTTTTCTGAATGTTGCTTGCTTTGTGCTTTGTGGGACTCTAAGTGATGGGAGTTAGCTACTACGTGAATATGCTAAGTCACATGTGACCAGGGTTGAATAATCTCTGAGTGATGGATTTGACCCTATTGTGCAGCTCTTGTTTGAGTCCTAACCGTTCTAGGGATGAGTCCTTTACTCGAAGAATTATCCGAGTCTCATTACATGTGATGGTCTTCAGGTAGTGGCTAATTGGCATTAAGAGGAGTCCTTCAGCAGCTGTGGAATGGGTTTGGGGTCGAAGATCACCCTAGGGCAAGCCTAGGTTGAGAGTAGCGTTGAGAGCGGTAGTAATGAAAGGGACTTGGTGGAGTCGAGGAAATTCTTGAGGAAAGTACGGATAGATGTGAAAGGTAGTATGGTCATGTACTACTGAAAGGATGGGATCCGTACTCGAATCAAGGAGTCTGAGATAAAACCGGGAAACTTGTAGTGTGTGTGTGTGTGTGACCCCCATAGATTAATGATGAGTATTCTTATGGTTATTATGATATGTTTTCAGCATGGTGACACTACGTGAGAGGCCAGTTGGCAGTTTTGGTGCCGAGGAAGGATCATGCTCGGGTTCTAGAGCCAGGCAGTTGGATGAGCAGATGAGATAGTTTATCTCAGCTTAGGTTATGCGCAGTATTCTTGACATGACTCTTGTGATCTTCGGTACGGTCAAGGAGGGTATTTTGGAGATTCTTGATGAGAGACTGAGTGCGTTCCACACTGAGATGGCGGCCATGATGGGGGCGCGCACGTTGACCTTCCGGGAGTTCAGAACTTGTGGAGCTCCAGACTACCATGGGGCTAGGAACCCCTATTGCTAGCAGTCGGTGGTTGGCGGACGTCTCCAACGCTTTTCGTACCAGCCGGTGACCCGAGGGGGACAACGTCCATCTTGTCTCCTGTCTCCGAAAGGTCAGAGCACATGATTGGTGGGAGGAGGTTGAACGAGCTATTGGAGACGATGTCACGGTTGATGCGATGACATGGAGTGACTTCTCGGCCAAGTTCAGGGCTGAGTTTGCACAAATGATTGAGGTGCAACAGTTAGAACAAGAGTTCCAGGACCTCCATCAGACTACAGAGATGATGGTTGAGATCACCGCTAAGTTTAGGGAGAGGGCCCTTCTTGTTTCGCAGTATGTAGCGGATGATGAGATGAAGAAGGCCTGATATCACGAGATACTGAAGAGCAACATCAGATAGTTTGTAAGTTGATCTAGCTGCAAGACCATTGAGAATATGATCTCTCTCTCTCTCTCTAGAGAGAGAAAGAGAGAGGAAGCCGAATAAGGTTCAGTTATCCACAGGTTCAACCAAGAGACCCAAGGGGTCGGATTCGAGATCGAGCGATTATCAGAGCCGCAACCGTTGTGGCAAGTGCGGCCAGACATACGAGGGTGTGTGTAGGAGTGGCAATGGTGGTTGTTCTGGTTGCTTCAAGTACGGACAGACTGGTCATTATAGCAGGGATTGTACTGCTACCACCACCCAGGGATCAGACATGATCTGCTTTCATTGCACTCAACAGGGCCACAAGAAGGCCTAATGTCCGAGTTTGACTGCAGCCGGACCAGTGATGGCACCAGCTCCCTACGAAATTGAGGATGACCGACGACCGTTAGGGTCAGGCAGATGCGCCTACAACGAGGAGCAGGGCTTTCCAACGTACTACAGAGGAGGCACGGGTAACTTCCGGTGACGCAGGTGTGTATCTTTTGTTTATCTATCAGTTTTTATTTATGATTTTATTGATATTGTCTTGCGTCTGTATGAGTAAGTGTACCTTGGAGTGATATTTGTATGCTTATGTTCAGATTATATGCCATTTGCATACCATGAAACTTAAAATAGTATTTGAGTTATACACATTTTAAAACTAAATTTACAAGAATACATCTCCCTCTCCTAAGCTTTCGCAAATGAAAACTTTTTTGTTCATCTAAGCAACCATTGGCATATGCAAAAGCATAAACCAATTAGATTTTTTGTCATTCAGTTTAAGGTTTTAAACATTAATTTGAATCATACCAAGTGATACAATGCTAAACTTGAAGATAGAAATATAGACAAAAAAAAGTAACTAGTAATGAAAAATGCAATGTATCAACACTAACATGAGGAATCCATATAACTACAAGACACTACAATCTGACTGATCAAGCAGAAGTAGTGTTTCCATATACAAGCTAACAATTAATGCACCACGTTCTCCATTAATCCCTGTATCATTGAAGTATTTTGAGTTGGGTTCATAGACAACAAGTGAGGCTGGTTCTTCATAAACGTCTTGTGTTTCCATCATAGCTTCACCCCTCTTTGTAAATCCCAGAATCTTTATTGAATCACATTCTTTCTCAATGGTGAACAACTTTGTAAACATATGAGGAATAGAATGATCCATAATCCATGCATCACAAACTTGGAGTTCACTTTCTAATTGTGAATCAGTGTATGTAATGTATTCAAGCACAGCAAGAGAGTCACGTACCTTAGAGACAGATTGTGTAACACGTACAAAACCATGGTATGCTAAACTTTTTGGTAGATCTATCACTTTAAATTCATGGGTAGTCATATCAAATGAAACAATCAGATTTTTTTGTATCTGGCCATCATCATCATCATCATCATCATCATCATCATCATCATCATCAAGATACTGATCAAAAGCAGCCCAATAGATAAAATTATCTATAACTACTTGAGACCATGTAACTTGAATTGATTTCTTAGGCAGATTGTTAGATGGAATTCTCCAACTACCTTTACTCAATGTAAAAACTTCAACCATGGGAGAACTATCATCATCAGTTGTAGAATACGTATCAACATTTGTAATCTTGACAATGGTAGGGTCGTTAGTGATATGACAAACCCCAAACCCAAGAACAAATTTTGACCAAAGTGACTCACCTGGAACAGTTACACAGATTGATTTTCTAATGGAGGGATTCCAAAGAACAGCCATTTCTGTTGAGAATTTAAAACGAGGATGACTTGGATCTTGATAATAACCGTAGAAACATAGCAATCCCTGAGAGCTACCCACCATTTTTAAATTGTTTAAGAATTTTGAGAGCAAAGGAACAGCTGGAGCGAGCGCTTGTTGGGCAAAGGCCTCGTCATCGACAAAAAGGTAACATACTTTTCGTTTGTGTCTACTGGATCTTTGTACCATACAAGTAGATGTTGTGGATCAGGTTGGTGGACTCTGTAACCAGAGATAAACTCTGAGATGTCGATCAAAGACTTCCATGGTTTTGATACGGATCTGAATCGAAGCAATGACTTCACCGGGAGTTTTTTGATGATTTCCGCTTGGATTTCGAAAGCTACGTATTCTGACATTGTAATTTTGGGTGATGATCGGAGGTATGAATTTCTAGGGTTTACACAAGGGGGATAAGCGAAGGGTTTTACTTTTTAGAGCTAACAATAGCGTTGCAACATTGTGTTCCCGCCAAAGCATCGGAAAAGCGATTTTACTAAATCGCTAAAATAGCAAAAATAGATGTCTTTCCTATTATCAATTTGGTGTTATACGGGTGGTTAACTTAATAAAATAATATAAATAAAGAATATAAGATTAATCATATAAATTTTTTATCTGAATTATATTATGATTTCTCTAACCACATTTATTGGTGTTTTATCGGGGCAAATTTAAAGTTAAGAAACAATAAAATGATGTATGATATAATATTAATTAGGATGTGTATTAAGGTGATATATGGTAAAAAAAAAGATTAACATTATTCTTTTATTAATATAGAAAGATTTTTTATTAGATAAAAAACAGATCACTTATAAGGATAATCAACTAATGATTTTGTTTATGTTTGATTTTTTTTTGTACGTAATATATCACCGAACATTTTGTTTGTGTTCACGATAACCCTTTTGATCGGTTATCACCTCAAAGAAAATATCCAAATATAAATAAAATCAACAGTTAGTTATCCTCATAAGTTATTTTCTATATTTTCCCAAAAGCCAGATTTCATTTTATTTACTAAAGAACATTTGTGTATAGTGAATCAATCCCTAGTTTTTACATTTTACTTATTGTCATTTTCTTCTCTTAACAACATTATAACTAGAAAATGTCTACAAATACTCATTAGGTATCTCAAGTAAATCCATCTCTTAACCTATTATGATATTAAAAAATGATAAAATATAGTTTTGTTCGTTGATAAAGGTTTGTATTCATCATCCATCATCTAAAGAAATCTTATAAATATCCTTCCCGAAATTATTAAAAAAAAGTTTGACAAGAGTTGTAATCAATCTAATTAAGATTATCAACATCAACTTTAGCATCTGACGTTGATGTTATACATGTTCGTCGACTTTATATCTATACAAGAAAAACTAACCATCAAAACTTAATTAATGTTTTTATTACAGTTGTTTGTAATTTGTTTTGCACTTGTTGAACGATTCACCATTAATAGTTGAAGAACCCCTTTATTTCTCCAAAGAGTCAATTGGCCTTGACATATACTATCTCATTATTTCTAATTCATATTTTTTTAACTCATTTGTAACAAAAGGGAAAATGACTTGGTCACTTTCTTTTTTTATATGCAATATACCATTGAACTTGTTGTTTGTGTTCATCATAATCATTTTGACCTACTATCACCTGTAATAACCAGTCAAAAGGATTATGGTGAACGCAAACAACAAATTTGATAGTATATTACGTACAAAAAAAATAGACAAAGCGTGAACAAAATCAACAGTTGAATACCCCTAAGGGTCATTTTCCCGAAAAAAAATTCTATAAATGGTCCAAGTATCTCCAAACTTGTAGTTTCAAAACCTTATATTTTGGGTAACTCTAAAAAAGCATAATTAATTTTTAAATAACCAATTTGTCTTTATTTGTTTATTTTTTTAATTTAATTATGATTTTCTTTTAGGATTTCTTTACGGTTGGAAAGTGTCCTATATCATTAAATATTACTACTATTTATTAGGGGTGTGCAAAAAACTGTATAAACCGTCCATACCGCCCATACTGCACCAAACCGCACCAAATAATGCGGTTTGGAATTTCGCGGTGCGGTTTGCAGTTCGTAATTCTGTCAAACCGCATTATGCGGTGCAGTTTGCAGTTTATAGTTACCTAACCGCAGTTCAAACCGCACCGCATCGTGTGTGTGTGTGTGTGTGTATATATATATATATATATATATATATATATATATATATATATCAAAGTTTCCAATCATCAAATACTTCATACTGTCCAATAACTTTATTCTATATTACAATGGTTAAATATGGTAATTAAAGACTTAAAAGACTATGATATCAAATTTTATAAGTCATAACAATTTAGCAAAACATTATGTGGTTTTTTTGTTTGCAATATCTATGCATTTTAAAGGGTATGCAATATAATTAATAAATTTTGAAAGTGTTTAAATGTAATGAATAACAACCAAAGTTATAAATTGAAACACCTTATCAAACCACATAAACAACACATAAACCGCACAAACTGCCCGCATGAAACCCCACCGCATAATGCGGTTTAGAGTTTTTGTGGTACAATTTGCGGTTTCCAAAAAAATCAAACCGCATGTGTGGTGAGGTTTGCGGTTTCAACTCTAAACCGCACCGCGAACACTCATACTATTTATATACATACTAATTTAGAAGTCCTTGCTGAACAGGACTTTCATGTGATTAGTTTATTTTTTTTTTCAAAAGTTCTGGCCATTAGAGTGGGTGGAATGTTCGGTGCTACGTGTTATTATCTAGCACTATCTGCTCTTGCCTCCTATTTCTTCCAATTACAGGCCTACAACAAATCATCTAATTTCCTTCCCCACTGCCTCGACACCGTTTCGAGCCCTTATCTTCATTTCGGTATCTCACACCGCCCTCTCTCTCTATCTCTCTCTCTCTCTCTAAACCTTCTACATACCTCATCCCTATTCCTTTCCACCTCCTTATGTATTTCGATTAGAGCTCTAATGGATTTGCTCGATCAATACCTTCAGCATGCAACCTTGCCGTCTCCGACTTGATCGGTCCGCTAAGAAAATTAATCAATAATGAGAGGAAATATCTAGATAAAGAAGATAGTGAATTCGACGAAGGAATCGCCATCTTTTTTACTTCGGGGACTCATCTGTCACTCGATTTATGTATTGGGCTCTACCTTCAATCATCATCTTTGTTACTTACAGGTTCCGGTAACATGCCTAAAGGAATCAGATTCTCCCTTCGCCAGCCCTGCTAGCGACATCTACCAAGGTTCATATCAGAGTATTATGCTCCTCATTACGTTTTTCAATAATTCCTATCTGACTCTTTGTCTTTGTCTTCCGATCTTTCAGGTTGGCGTTTTGCTTAATAGGTTGTAGAGTAATGGTTCTTTGTAACTAATCCATTGGGCTCATTCCAGCTGCCTATGTCACAATTATGGTATAATTTACCTCTTTTTCTTCTATTTTGTGTGATTTTTTTGTATTAAATATTTAATTATTCATAATTCTATATGCAGGAATAACGCTTGGAGAATTACAGTCAATTGGAGACCTATATGACATCCATTCAATAGTAACATAGTTTGTCATTAGAATTGCATCTGTTACTCCTACACTTATAACCAAAAAGAAAGAATCATAATAATTTGATGATAAATCAACCCCTCTCAAGCATTCAACTCTGTATAAATTTACAAATTTACCGTCCATTTGCACCTGGGGTTTTGTTGGGATTCAATGGTTGGTGCTTTAGATGTTGGAGAGGCGCAAACAAATATAGAAGGATAAAATGGTAAAAAGTTTAATATGGAGCTTACTCCTTTATATTAATAATCCTAGTAGAAAGAGAATCTTGTAAGAGATGGATTCTATTTTTATGAAATGTGATCAAGGGTTCAAAGTTTAAATTTTGATATTAATGAGTTAATTAATTACATTTGTAATGTTTAACGTCTATTATGATTGGGGCAAAGGTGCTGATAATCCAGCAACAGCCAAGACCTATATTTACTTGCACATGCCACAGGTCTGAAATCTGAATAATTTGTAAAAGTTATCTTTTAGATATTTTTTTGGAATGAAAAATAAAAATTTGGTTGTTAATGTTACATGAGTATGAGGTTAAAGGGAAATCTCGCATTGGAACACGTGGAAAGAAGTGAATAGTGTTGTTTTCTATTTCTAGATTGTAAATGTAAGGAGTTAAATCAGTTTGTGCAGTTTTGCATTGATTCTTAGACCCATGTAGTACACAATGAGGTTTGGCCTTTTTTTTCTTTTCTAATATATGTGGTCAATTGGTTTTTTGATTATGCTTTGACTGTTTGTGATTTTTTTAATTTGTGATTTCTCTATTTTCGTTTTTCCTGGATATGTGTTTTTACAAGCAAGCTATTGACAGTTAACTGAGATAAAGAAGCAAGACTTTTAGATTTTCAGACAAGAATATTGAAGAATGCAACTCTTCACAACGACTCAAAGCAAGGTATTTGTTTCCATATTTTATTTTAAAATTTCTTTTTTAGTACTAGAAGTTGTTGAAATTGTCTTTTGATTATCAGTGTTTGAATTTTTGTTTTGACAACAATCAAGCATAATTCATGCATTTATTTGAGATTTATCTATCATAGTTACATTACTTTATTTGATCAAATAGAGTTATCTTTCCAGACTGTAGACAATAAATATTGTAGTGTCACTGACCCGATTCAGTAGTTTTCTAGAAACAATTATGGATGAGACAAAATTAGTGATTATTTTACCTTTTGGCAGGTAAGTTCTCTCCAATTTATCTGAATTAGCATTTAGCTTCATATCATTCTTTCTTCTTCTTCTTCTTCTTTTTTTAATTTTCTACAACCGCTTCTTTGTCTTCTAACTTCATATATAAGATTTCCTTATTACGTCCTGTTTGGTTGTATGACAGTGCAGAAACACTTACAGAGAAGAAGAGATTGCCTGAAAAGGCAACAATAAATTCAACGGATGAGAAAGAAAAAGAGGTGTTTCTTTATTAAAAATACAGGTTGGATTCATTCCTAAAGCCTCCAAACATCCTTCAAATGAAAGTCATAACAAATTAATCCTTTATTTCATTATTTCCATTCATTTATCATAACATTTTGATTTGACCTTTTTTTTGGAATTTTGACTTTGATGACTCTCTTTATTAGTGGAGGAAATAGATGTTGGGGAGGGTAATAATTGTTGGATGGAAAGAAATGGAAATGTACAACCATGATTTGTTTAATTCAATATATCTGCCTGTGTTTTTTCTTTGGTGTATCCAATCCCACAAAGCGGGGTTCTTCCCTAGTTTCTAATAATCGTAGAGTCCTCTTA